GATGTTATTAAGGGCTGTAAATATAATAAGCCTCTGTCTAAAATGGACAACATTGTTAGGAGATTTAAACTATAGGCCTACAGCGGTTCTGCACTGCGGTCACTCAGCTGCCTCTCGAGTTTGTTTTTTCAAATCAGCTGCTCTTCATTTTTCCTGCTATATTTATACTTTGTGAGTAATCCTCTGTCAAAGTCCCCTCCTTAGTAGCCTACATAATGCATGTTTTTCTGCTATCTTTGATGAATGATAAAAATATAATTTTACCATTAGTTCTTAATGAAATTGATACTGCTTGACTTTGTATTAGTTAGCCTACTACTTACAATACATTGAAGTACTTTTACTGTGTATTTTTGGAGAAATACTCTGTCAAAATCCCCTGCTGAGAGAGTAGCATGAAGCTGCAGCGTCGGAGACGGCAGATACAGACTGGTAGATAGATCGTTCAGCAGATCTCCATGAAGGTAAAGTTAGCAAACATTCTCTTGTGAAATGCAAATGGAGTTGCAATGTGTCTGCATTAAAAGCAGCCTGAATGTTATGATCAGTTCCATTTGAGCAATAAATCTAAAATAAGTCCTTCTATGATTTGTTTGTGGTGACCAGTTACTTGATNTTGCTCCACTTTCTCCGGTCCCCGAGATTGGGCTTCCAGTAGCTCTGGAGAGAGCTTTCGCACCTGTGGCCACTACGGTCATCATTTCTCTGCTTTGTTTCAAGACCCGCATCAGAAAGCTTTAGAATGGTGGTACTTTTCCAGTTGGTCTACCTGCTCTTCACGTAGCTCTGCATGTCGTCGTTTAGGTGCTTTTTTTCTGGAGATAGGCACTGCTCAATCCACTCCTCCATAGTAAGGCCACCCTGGAGTTTGAAGTTAATCTTAAATGTTTCCATCTTATGCTTTGTAAGTTTGTTTCGTAACGGAAGAAATGTAGCCTAAATATATTTATAAAACGGACAAGTCAAATCAAGCAATCTGATTGGTCGATAGCGTTTTTGCGGACCTCTTTGATTACAGATTTGAAAACATCGTTGCTTGCTTTAAAAGTACCACAATTCATTATGTCAAACCTTGGAAAGTATCTAGATATCCCTGCCCTAATGTCAAAGGAACTGCACACTGAATATGTTTTGCCGTTTGATGTCTATGTCTGGACCGCTGTGTAAAAAGCTGGGTTTCTGCCCCGTTACTTTTCCGCTGCTTTCCTGTTCCAGTTTGAAAAGCAGTTTGCTTTTCAGGCCAACTGTATACTGTTTTTCTCAGACGCGGAGGGATACTGACTTGTTTTGAAAAGTAACTTACAATTCTACCCGTGGTACACGCTCAGTATATCACGGCTAAGAACCAATCAGATTGCTTGATTTGACTTGTCCGTTTTATAATACTGCATTACACTACTGCGTTACAGACAAATGTATACTGATTACTGTAATGCGTTACTTTGTAGCTTGTTACCCCCAACAGCACTGATCGAGGCTTACTGTAACCATCACAGTCTGTTCACAGTTTGTGTTCCAATAAATAGTCCTTAAACACTGCTGTTCCTGTTAGTGTTTACTTCATGGACCTTTCCCATTTATCTAATTTCCCCTCCTCAAGGTTCAAGTGCTTCGTTTTATCTTTTGAGAACCACAAGAGCTTTGCCTTTCCAGCATTTAAAACAAGTTTCAAATCACATAGGTTAGATTGTACAATGTTAAAAGCAGTCTAGATCTGACAAAGAGCCTGATTCGGTGTGTACGCAGAACAGTAAATTACTGTATTATCAGCATATAAAGGAACATTTGCATTAAAAACATTGTTTTTAAGACTGTTTATATACATAATAAATAACAATGGTCCTAAAACCGATCCCTGTTTCACACCCTTGGATACATGAAGAGATGTAGAAGTTAAACCTTCTGCCCGCACAGACTGATCTGCATGAACAGACAGCCTGATCTGAAAGACCGATACTAAGGAGTCTTTGTGACAGTATGGCATGATCCACTGTATTAAAATCCGTTGACAAGTCAATAAAAAGTTCTTCGCAGTGCTATCTATTTTCTAAGAAATTTATAAAATAATGTACTACTTTTAAGGTGGCTGTTGTTTGAACTGAGTCCTCCTTGACAATACAATGTGGAAGCTCGATAACATTTTTGTTTCCGGCTAATGATTTGATTTGATATTTGTCCAGAATTTAAGGGGATTATTTTTGATTGTTTGAAGTTTCAGTTAGGAGATGATCAGCTTTGGCTTTTCTGATTTTGACAGTACATGCATTTCGCAGCTGCCAGAAGAGCAACCAATCTGACCCAAGACCTGTACTCCTGCTTTTTTACCATGCCACATTGCGCTAGTGTAGTAAATCAGAAAGATCTGATGGGAACCATGCCTTATCTCTGCATTGGGATATATATATTTTTTAAATCCTCTGGATTATTGTTGCTGATTAATGCATCAGTGTTTCTTAGGGTCAAAAACACTACTCACAACTTAAAATGAAAGCGTTTAGTTTATTCAATAAAAGAGCACATGTTCAATTTGAAAAGTGACAGTAGATATAGATTAGTTGCTATTTGGTGCTGTATATATTTTTATATAAAAAAATAATTATAATATATATTATTTAAACACCTTGAATTTCAGGGGGGGCGTGGGGCTCCGTTGGTGGGGCTCAGCGCCCCTCCAAGACTATTAAAATGCTTTTTGATTTCATAACAAAAATTACATCAATTCAGAAAAGGAAAGACAGAAACAGGGAACTTGCTGCTTGTATTAGTAAATGATGCTAATGTTGGCTTGTTGAAGCATTAAAATGCATTTAGGTTAATCATGTACTTACTCAGGAACTTGATCCCACCAAGCATGTATTAAGAGATGACACTTTTGTATCTGTTCTATATACAGTTTAATAAAAAAAACCTAGCAAGTTAAAATGATATTTTAAAGTAAAATTAATTAAAATACATAAAACTTGTTAGTACACTAAGCCACAGTACGAAGCCACACTTCAGCTGTTGTAAAACACTGAGGAAAAACACATTTCTATTTATTTTATTTTATAAGTTTGATCTAAATAGCTTTTTCTCCTGTGTTTATGACCTTAAAACAGCTGGAAAAAATATGGGTACTGTTACTAAGTTTAAACAGTAATATGTGTAGCAAAAATGTTTTGCTTGATATTATAATAACAATTTAGGCCACAAGAGGCTGACTAGCAAATAATTATTCAACAGGAAAAAATCACATGGGAAAACCTTTTTTCACATGTAGACCTTGTTTTTTTTAACTCTGTTACTGTAGGTCATAAACACAGGATAGACAATTATGTATATCAGACTTAGGAAGTCGATCATCAGAAACTTATTTTCTTAATTCGCTTTCAGGGCTTCCATACTTGTAATGAAAGAGGAGTCAATTTTCCCTCTCCAGTTTTCTCTAGTTTAACCCAGAGCTCCTAGTCTGACTTGGTCAGTTTGACTGCCAGAAATATGCCCAGCCTAAAATAAATTCATTTTTAATATATTAGGCTTTAAGTTGGGATCAGATTTGTTTAGATGTACCTTTTTTATAAACTGCAAGTGTTGAATTCCTGTTTCTCTATATACACGTTTGTCTGTCTCTCTCCAGGAAACTGCACTGCTTGTTGGGTCTTATTCAGCCTTTTGTTCATCCTGATTGTCGCTGCTGTGCTTGCAGTATGGTACCTTTACAAATCTGGAAGGATTCAATGGTACTAATAAATACAGATGTTCTAAAAACACTTAACTGCAATAGACATTTTCTCTGCCAATCATACTGGCAATTACTGTTTAACTATGTATATGTGTTCTTTAATATTAATTGGTGGTTAATTATCCAGGAACAGAGACATGCAGCCGCTCCCACCAAATTCACCTCCACCTGAAGAGGAGCAAGTTTTATAAGAATCCAATCAATAAAGTATGTATAATAGGTAATTTGTTCAATTTAATTTTGTGAGATCTGTGTTCCTCAAAAACAACTATCTAACCTTTTTTTTAATGCGGTTATTGTTTAAAGTATTACATGTGTTTTTTGTCTCTTTTTTAGATGCTCTTTTATAAAATACATTTACACTGTTGGCATACTCATTTAAAAAGTGCTTCTTCACTTAAATGTTTTGTATTGTCTGCCACAGGGATCTTCCTGAAGTCCATGGGAGTAGCAGGGTGTAGTGCAGATGGACTCTCCTCGACTTGTTTCCCTCCTGACTCAGCTGTTAGGGAGCAGGTGCAGCTGTCCAGGTGCTTTGTATTGTAATGTCCTATGATAACAGCCTTTACAATTATATTTGGTTTATTTCTAAATAAATAGATGAAGTTTTTCCCAAAAGAAGAAGTGACATGGGAAATATATGTAGTGAAAGTATTTTTCAAGCTAAAAAGTGGAAGCTTCAATTAATGTTTACTGTCTATGGCTGACTGAAATGGAAAGTTTGCATGACCGATTAACGCAAGCATCGTGCATCAGTGTTATCTGACATCTGGCTTTAATCTTGAGAGGCTGCACTATCAGTAACGGCTGTAACTGCCACGATACTTACCTTCTGGTTTTCTCCCACACATAGCTTTCACAATCTGCAGTGGCTCTCAGTTGATATGCAAAGGATGAAGGCTCTCTACAGCCAGAGTTTGTTGCATCTGTTCTGGGCCACTGTAGAGAAATGACAGACTCATAAGAGGCTCATTCTAGGCAAACAAAAAACAGTTCTTAATTTCAGGTTACACCAATGAGAACTTGGATACTATAATCAATTTCTCCTATTGGATCCCCCTTAATCCTTCACACTGCTCGTTTCACTGTTGCTCAAAGCAGAGGATTATAAAGAGTGTTTTCAACCACACAAGAAACAACCCAACAGGCCAAACTAAATATTGCTGAGAAATTTCAATACTATTTCTTAATTTATTTAAAATATTTTACTAAGCTGGACTTGATGTGTTGTTTTTGTGTTTACAATGTTGCCAGATAACAGACAGACCAATCTTTCCTGACACACAGTCTATTTAATGATGCGTTTTCCCTATACCAAATGCATACAGTATGTAAGAGAATACCGTCAGTGTTGAGATGTTACAGAAGAACGTGTTACATTCTAAACCCCTGATTCTATTTGAACCAACCCCTAGCTTAAACATTTTATTTATCTGCTCAAGATCGATTGGATCAATGCTCTGAAGCCGCTATCACATTAAACACAGCCTTATCTGTGAGCTGCTGAACTTCTAAGCACCATCACATTTCATGGAATTTTTGACTACTACGATTATCTACTGAGTGCTAAAACATTTGCTCTGCTTTGGAACTGTCGCTCTGACAATGTTTTAGTTGTGTTTAAGTCAGCCAAGCTCTTTGTTATCTTTGAATAGGTGTATAGCATCCTCCAATGTTATGGGTAAACAAGCTTAAAACAGAAAGACCCCAAAGTCAGCAAAAAAGGAATGAATGATGTTTTAAGTTCAGTGAAGGTCAAAATGAAGAGCTGCCTTACGAAAACTGTAGAAAAACATTATATTATTGATAAAGTTGCACTGCATCTTCATCTCCTAAATATATTTGATAATTATCAGTTAAACAAAGTATAAAGTGTTTGATTGGCTCTTATTGAAATCATTAAAGCCATCATGTTAGCATACATTGTACTGGGAGGTTACTTGGGTTGTACAGGTTATGTTAAGTTTCAAAAATGTAAAAAAAAAAAGGTTTCCTTAGTTAAGATTTTAAAAGTTACAACATTCCTTTTGTAGTGGCCAAAATCCCCAAAAGTTTGTCTTGTAACTCGATACCTCAAAAGTTATTGTTCTTGGCCACATGTAGAGCTTGGGCCTGTGTTAGGAACTCAGAGACTTAGGAGGTAGGACCCAATTGCACGACCCGGGGGACAGAGGTAAAGTATCTGTAAGATACTTAATTTTTTAAAGAACAGCAAAAATGAACAACAAAAAATGGTCTCTACAAAAATGAAAACGCTCACGTAATGAGGATCAAAACTTTCACAAGAGCACATAGAGAGCATAGACCTGACTGTGGCAAGAGACAAGAGCAAAGCACTGACCATGGCAATAGACAAAAACGAACTGACACTGAACACTGGGAGACAGGGGAATTTAAACACAGGGTAACAAGACACAGGTGGGAATAATCAGTGGCGGGACTGACGCCGATTAGCACACGAGACACCGAAGGGGTGACAGGTGAAAATAA